CTGCGTACATACAGGACCATCAAATCATAGTTTTCACTTCCTCTGTGTACAATACAACACCATCAAATCATAGTTTTCACTTCCTCTGCGTACAATACAACACCATCAAATCATAGTTTTCACTTCCTCTGCGTACAATACAATACCATCAAATCATAGTTTTCACTTCCTCTGTGTACCATACAACACCATCAAATCATAGTTTTCACTTCCTCTGTGTACAATACAACACCATCAAATCATAGTTTTCACTTCCTCTGCGTACAATACAACACCATCAAATCATAGTTTTCACTTCCTCTGCGTACATACAGCTCCATCAAATCATAGTTTTCACTTCCTCTGCGTACAATACAACACCATCAAATCATTGTTTTCACTTCCTCTGTGTACAATACAGCACCATCAAATCATAGTTTTCACTTCCTCTGTGTACCATACAACACCATCAAATCATAGTTTTCACTTCCTCTGTGTACAATACAGCACCATCAAATCATAGTTTTCACTTCCTCTGCGTACAATACAACACCATCAAATCATTGTTTTCACTTCCTCTGTGTACAATACAGCACCATCAAATCATAGTTTTCACTTCCTCTGTGTACAATACAACACCATCAAATCATAGTTTTCACTTCCTCTGCGTACAATACAACACCATCAAATCATAGTTTTCACTTCCTCTGTGTATAATACAGCACCATCAAATCATAGTTTTCACTTCCTCTGTGTACAATACAACACCATCAAATCATAGTTTTCACTTCCTCTGTGTACAATACAACACCATCAAATCATAGTTTTCACTTCCTCTGTGTACAATACAGCACCATCAAATCATAGTTTTCACTTCCTCTGTGTACAATACAGCACCATCAAATCATAGTTTTCACTTCCTCTGTGTACAATACAACACCATCAAATCATAGTTTTCACTTCCTCTGCGTACAATACAACACCATCAAATCATAGTTTTCACTTCCTCTGTGTACATACAGCACCATCAAATCATAGTTTTCACTTCCTCTGTGTACAATACAACACCATCAAATCATAGTTTTCACTTCCTCTGCGTACAATACAGCACCATCAAATCATAGTTTTCACTTCCTCTGTGTACAATACAGCTCCATTAAATCATAGTTATCACTTCCTCTGCGTACATACAGCTCCATCAAATCATAGTTTTCACTTCCTCTGCGTACAATGCAGCTCCATCAAATTATAGTTTTCACTTCCTCTGCGTACATACAGCACCATCAAATTGTAGTTTTCACTTCCTCTGCGTACATACAGCACCATCAAATTATAGTTTTCACTTCCTCTGCGTACAATACAGCTCCATCAAATTATAGTTTTCACTTCCTCTGCGTACATACAGCACCATCAAATTGTAGTTTTCACTTCCTCTGCGTACATACAGCACCATCAAATTATAGTTTTCACTTCCTCTGCGTACATACAGCACCATCAAATTATAGTTTTCACTTCCTCTGCGTACATACAGCACCATCAAATCATCGCGTTCTCCTCCTCCGGGTACTAACAGGACTTGGCTGAGGCTGCGAATAAGACTGTCAATGACAGGATCTACGGAGGCTGGTGTCAGTGACTCGCAGCGACTTTGCGGTGTGGTGACAATGTTTGCTCTAAAGATGGCGCATGTCGGCCTCCACCCCGATCCTGCTTGCAAGGCACACACCAATGTTTGATTGGGGACCTCTCTGATTGAGGTCCCCGGACTATATTATTTTTTGTATAAAAATATCTGAGCAGTTTTACGATTTGGTTTCTTTAGTGAGACTATTTAGCATTACTCATTGATGACACTTCCTTTCTGTCACAGTTAACATGATACAAGGCTACAACGTCGGTGCCACGAAGAAAATACGACACAATTAATTAGAAGTAATGTGCTGCTGTATTCCGATGCTATTAAGAATATAAGATATAATTTATTTTTAAAAAATGTCATTGAGAAAATGAGATACAATCTATTAAGATACCGTTGAGAAAATAAATTTTGCTTGTGGTGTGACGGCTTCTATTTGCGGATAGCGCGCAAAATATAATTCTCGATAACTACTTTCTTTTTTTTCTTTTTTATTAGCGCAACTGCGTTTGGTGCGCAATATTTTCTTTTCTTTTCGGAAAATAAAACCGTGTCAATTTAAATACGGTGTCGTAAATATTCGGTTTAAAAGTGTTTGGGACATCAGAATATTTAATGAAGTTCATGAGCGTGAAATAAAAAGTGTGCCGAGACGAATTAAGGGGGAGGGGGGTGTAGCAAAAATGGGGATTCTTAAATTGTGCGTTACTTGAGTTCATATTTTGTCAAGTCACTTTAGTAGATGGGAAGCTCACGCATTGCTGTCGCCAATGTTTGGTGCGCTATAACTAGTACGATATAATCGATTAAAACGTCTTTGAGAAAATACGAAGCAATCTCCTAAGATGCCACTGAAGAATATTTTGTTAGTTTGAATAGCACCTTGGATAAATTCAGAGACAAGCGCGGGAAGTGCACACAAGTGAACTAACCAACAAACATGAAACTACGGCTGGAAGTGCACATAATTTCTAGTAGTCTCTGACTGTACCATGCGGCGGTGGCTGAGGTGGAACCAGCTCTCCTTGGTAGATGACATGTCAGTTAAACACTTGCCTTATACTTTACTGGAGGCTTTTGGATATTATTTTAATTTTAAATCAACGGTTCTAAATATATTTCTCGCCCAAGTTGTGCCATCTTAAATTCAGATAATATTTTATACATTTAGTCGTGTGTTTAGGAGTAGAGGATAAATTTTAAAATATTATAGGATTTCTAAAAAAATTAGTTTTTCTTTTCAATAAAATGAAGTAGAACTGCGTAAAGAATCTCGCAGCGCTTTGTGATTTGTTCGCTTGACATGTGCAGATAATTTCCGTACATTTTGCCAAGTTTGGTTCTTTCTTTGGCTCACCGAATAATTTTTCAATTCATTCACCTTACATTAAAAATATGTTTACTTTTTATGTCGGCGGGTCATAGGCGAAGTGGAAAGTTGAGTACGCTTATCTTCAAGAAGATAGAAAATTCACCATGCACCATTGTCCAATCCTAATTTAATGAACGGACTGCCTTCAAGCTGTGTGAAGGAAATAGTAGAACAATGTATGTGGACGCTGGAAATGGAAAGACAGGACAGTAAGAGAAGAACATTTCGACCAAGAGACTTCCTCGGCAGACATGACCATGATATCATAATTGGCACTAAATACTAAAGCACGTAGTGTGAAATTGTATAGTCTGACACTAAATTCTAAAGTAGTGAGTATTACTTTTTTTTTAAAAGCCACGCATCTGTCAGGAATCCGTGAACATGAACAAGAATACACGATCTCCATGAACAAGAATACACGATCTCCATGAACAAGAATACACGATCTCCATGAACAAGAATACACGATCTCCATGAACAAGAATACACGATCTCCATGAACAAGAATACACGATCTCCATGAACAAGAATACACGATCTCCATGAACAAGAATACACGATCTCCATGAACAAGAATACACGATCTCCAAGAACAAGAATACACGATCTCCATGAACAAGAATACACGATCTCCATGAACAAGAATACACGATCTCCATGAACAAGAATACACGATCTCCATGAACAAGAATACACGATCTCCATGAACAAGAATACACGATCTCCATGAACAAGAATACACGATCTCCATGAACAAGAATACACGATCTCCATGAACAAGAATACACGATCTCCAAGAACAAGAATACACGATCTCCATGAACAAGAATACACGATCTCCATGAACAAGAATACACGATCTCCATGAACAAGAATACACGATCTCCATGAACAAGAATACACGATCTCCATGAACAAGAATACACGATCTCCATGAACAAGAATACACGATCTCCATGAACAAGAATACACGATCTCCAAGAACAAGAATACACGATCTCCATGAACAAGAATACACGATCTCCATGAACAAGAATACACGATCTCCATGAACAAGAATACACGATCTCCATGAACAAGAATACACGATCTCCATGAACAAGAATACACGATCTCCATGAACAAGAATACACGATCTCCAAGAACAAGAATACACGATCTCCATGAACAAGAATACACGATCTCCATGAACAAGAATACACGATCTCCATGAACAAGAATACACGATCTCCATGAACAAGAATACACGATCTCCATGAACAAGAATACACGATCTCCATGAACAAATATGCATTGCTCATGTGTCCAAAGTCAACGCTACGCTACATTGAGGGGGGATTGAAAATGATAAAAAAAAAATCGTTTAAGAGACATTTTAAAACTTTTTTTGTTTGAAAAGATTTAAGAAAAACCAGAGCGTGGTGAGCATGTTAAAGTGGCATGGAGACCAGCGCGATATAAATATCCAATCAAATCAAACCAAAACAGTCACTCGCTTGTCAATGCTACACAACTGTCGTTATTGTTTTGTCACAATCTTGCCAGTGTTAAATAACTGTCCATATTGTGTTTGTTTCTGCGCAAAATATGACATACTTTTGAGTGCAACTAAACTGTCGTAAACTTGTCGTTATTTTAACAACCGTCACTAAATTTTCTTCTTTTTTTTAAAAAACAACTGTCACTAAGTTGTAAATAGCTGTTGACAGCTTACTAGTGCTTCACTAAATGTCACACGGATTAGAGTGCCACACAACCTGTCACTAACTTGTAACTGTTTCAAAAAAAAAGTCTCTAGCATGTCAGTGTTAAATTACTGCGTGTCTGTATCATTTGAGAACCACTGAATGAAACTCTTTGGTAAATTGTCAAACACGTGACCACCTGTATAAATATCACAATGTATACATACTTTTGTACCTCTGGACGCTTGGCATCGAGCCAAGACTTATCTATAGGGGCTTCTGTTCACATTCACTGTGCACGGGAGTACACTGGTGAGTCTGATTCATATTGAGTAGTCACGGCTTTGTGGCGATCGTCTCTGTTTTTCTTTTAGTAATTTGTTAAGGTTGTTGGTTTTCTCCCTATATATCAAACCAGTTGTATACCAGTATTTTATCTGGAAATAAAAATACTTGTCAAATAAATTTAAAAATGTTAATTCATTTTTTTTTTTTTTTTGAAGCAGGATAAAAATTAAGTCTTAAAAAATTGTAACATTTATTTCGAAACATAATTTGGAAAATGTTTGATTCATTTTTTAAAGATTGACTTTAACTTTACATATGAAAATGTGTAAATTCTTTAAGTAGTCATTAATAACAATAACATTTCAAACGCTTTTTTTAAATATGACATTTAACAGAAGTATCTTACAAAATGATGTATATCAAAGCTTGAGTTTGAAAATGTGAAATTTTGAAGACAACCTACGAATTAGTTGTCAGCCGCGAATCATTTATTTTCAACTCTGTTAACATAATTAAGGTTGTGCCTTTTTCTTTTTTATATTATTCATAATTTTTTTTTAATAAATTTTTAAAGGGAGAAAAATGATTGTCCACACGTGGTCAGTGCATCCTGCGATCTTAAAACCAATTAATTAATCAGAAACCATTTGAATCTAGTTCCAGTGTTGACCATAGTGTTTTTAAAGAACAACAACCGCGTTATTTAATTTTTGTTCAATTAAAAGGGTTTGTTCCCTTACAGTGTAATGGCGCCGAATCTTACAATTAGAAATTTGTATTCGTTCCTAATGCGACTTACCTAAAGATAAAGTAATAATAATAATAGGTTAGAATTTATTGTGATTAAGGATGAGTACGCTAAATTTATTGCAAGATGTGTAATCTAAATTCATTTTGTTTCTACGTTTATAAACTTTAGTGCCCACGTGACCACTATAAAGTTATTCTGTTGTGCTTATTAACCGCGGAATTCGGATCCCGATAATGAGTTTTTTTTCTTTCAGAAATATATAGATAATGAATTTGAAAGCGATGAATAAATATGTATCTATACAGTTGAATTTTGATCAAGAGGTAATACCAATGTTGTTATCATTGATTGCGTTATTGCTGATATTGGTCGTTGATGGTTTTGTCAGTGTGTTATAGCTTAAGTTATCGATGGTATTTTCTGTGGAGCTGTCGAGGTTGTTTTAGACCAGTGGTTCTCAACCTTCATAATGCCGCGAAACTTTATTGCAGATCGTCATGTTGTAATGACCCCCAACCATAAAATTATGTTCATTGCTACTTTACTAATGCGTGTTTTCCGATGGTCTTAGGCGACCCCTGAGTAAGGGGGTCGTTCGACCCCCAAAAGAGGGCGACCCACGGGTTGAGAACAGCGATGCTGTAGAGTAGGGGTCGGGAACCTTTTTGTCTGTGAGAGCCATGGACATCACATATTTTGAAAAGCAATTCTGTGAGAGCCATGCATTATGTTTAGAACTAAAAATTCAAGTAAATGTGTGCATTTTGTGTAATTTCAACATTAAAATTGCAATTATTATGTCTCTAAATTCTTTTTAATAACATTGTTATGCTGTTGCTAATCAATAATGAGTATTTCTTACCATTAATGCGACTTTTTTTAAATAATCGAACATTTGTCTGCGAGTCAGATGCAGCCATCCATAGAGCCACATCTGGCTCGCGAGCCATAGGTTCCCGACCCCTGCTGTAGAGAATGTCACCGTTGCCTTAAAATGGTGGGCATTGATCTTAAACAGTTTTGTTCAAATATGTTACCAAACAAAGCTGCAGTTTCCATGACAACGCTGTTGTGATTATTTCAGAGTGTTGTTTTACGCCCAGTGTTGACATAATGCTGACAGCGTTGGTGCTCGTCGTGTCCGGACTGCTCCTCCCGGTCAGTGCGGCGCCCAGGGCTAACTTTACCATCAGGGATCCGTCATCCGTCTACAACAACAGCATCATCAAACCGCTGGGCGGAAGTGCTTCGCCGCCGGTGGCGCAAGTAGTCCACGAATGGGCCGCGCTTGAATACGACTGGCCGTGCGACTGGGTGCGGGATTACTACGCCGAAAGGGGCTGGTTCAATGCCAGCACGAACCTTCTAGGGGGCCTGGACGTGTACAAAAATGACCTCTACGTCACAGTTATTCGCGTGTCCAACACGATCCCATCAGGACTCAACAAGGTGGTCCAGAAAAACGGACGCTCCGTCCTGCAGCCTTACCCAAGCTTGAGGGCGAACGAGATAGGGATCTGCGCGAGCCTTCAGTTCCCCTTCGCCACCTACACTGACCCCAACACGGGCTGGATGTACGTCATAGACGTTGGACGAATCGGTCTGATTCGCAACTCTCCGGCGCCATGCCCTCCTAAAATAGTCGTCCTAGACCTCAACAGAAACGGTACGGTCGTCCGCAGCCACAACTTTCCCGAGTCTGTCGTCCCCAGAGGCACCAACATTTTAAACGATTTGGTTCTAGATTATGTGACCAAGAACGCGTCGCGGGTCAGGTACGCCTACATCACCGACACGGGCAACGCGCAGATCGTGGTCTACGACTTCCAGACGAATGCCAGCTGGTCGTTCAGGCACCCTTCCATGGAGACAGACGAGGACAAGACTGTCACCATCAACGGCGTCAACTACACGATGGACGTGCCGGTGGACGGCATAGCCATGGACCCAGACTTTGAGTACGTCTACTACTGTCCTGTCGGGACCAAAAAGCTGCACCAGATCCCGACCTTCGTGTTGAGGAATCCCGCTGGGAACTTCTCCAGATACGCTAGGTTTGTCGGCAACAAGGTGTCCAACGCTGATGGCATGGCCTCGGGGAAGAGGGCAATTTTCTACGGCGCCGAAGCCTTGAACGCATTGTATAGGTAGGTCTTTTAATGTGACCGCTTCGTGATGTTACATACAAGGGACTTCTTTATAGTGGGTTTTCAGAATGAGACCATGAACGCTTTGCATAGGTACCGGTAAGTCTTTTAATGTGACCCGTTAGCGATGTTTAAGTGAGGGCCTTTCACACGGCAATTCTCTAAAGTGGAGGTCACACGATGAGACAGTGAATGCGACATTTTTTTTTTTTCATACCGAGGTCTGAACGATCCTGCTCTGAATCTATGTCCCATTTATCGAGAAACCTATTGATGAAGTTTAATGATGCTTCATATAATGAAAATAGAACTGAGCGAATTTCTCTAAAGCCCCTTACGTCTACTGCAGAACTCTAAGGAAACATATGAAAAATTATACGCTACGGCAGTGGTCTCATCGAGGGACTAGAACGGTCTGACCGTGGGTAACGTGCTTAAGGCTATCGAAAAGAGGACAAGTTTGAAAAGCAAAGAGTCAGCCCACCCGTAGTTAGACTCACTCACATGAGGTTAGATGCTAATAACGAAACAGTTATTTCGTGACTGCCTGCTCAGTAATATAGCAGTAGTTCAAAGGTCATTCTTCTTGGCCATGAAAAGAAAATAATATGTACACTACTTCAAGGGATGTAACTATATTAATAATTGACCATGAGCAGAATGTAAATTCGTTCAGTCGCTTCCTTGAAGAAAAACTCTTTACCACTAAAATAGATGAATTGACGAGAAATAATCTACAACTAAAATAGATATAAATTAAAGAGAAATACTCTACAACTAAAATAGATAAATTGAAGAAGTGCTCTCTACAACTGAAATAGATATACATTGAAAATGTGCGCTCTATACTTGAAAAAGATGTAAATTGAAGAGGAGCTCTGTACAAATAATATTTATATATAAATTGAAGACAAATACTCTGCAACTAAAATAGATACACATGTAATGTTGGTTGCAATGAAATAATTTCTTGCTAACAGAATATTTCCAACACATCTTAGTAAACAATGATCAAGTGGTGTCATTATTATTTCATTGTTCCCAGGTGGGACATCTCTAAAGACCTGGCCAGTCAGAACGTCACGGAAGGTAACGTTACCATAGCAACAGAGAGCCTCGTGGCCCAGGACCCGGAAAAGTTCCGTTGGGTGGACAGCATGAAGGTGAGCGCCGACGGCTACCTGTGCTTTACGTCCAACCGGGTCAACGAGTACGTGGCCGGGACAATGGACTTCAGCGGCGCCAAGGGGACAAACTTTCGGATCAACAAAGTCTTTGTCGGGGATAAGCCGTACCTGCTGAAGGATGGTAGTGATGTAGGGATTGTGGTAGGGTAGATGACGGTTGGTGGTGGGCAATGTGGTAAGGTGAATGGCAGTTGGGGTAAGGAGTGGCAGGGTAGATGACAGATGGGGTTGGGTATTGTGGTAGAGTTAAAGATTAGATAGGCAGAAAATGTGGGTGTAGTGTCTACCGACACTAGTCAGACATTCGTGATCTATGATTCAGGCTTTCGTGATCTACGGGTCAGACTTTCTTGATCTATGAGTCAGACTTTCTAGATCTACGAGTCAGACTTTCTTGATCTATAGGTCAGACTTTCTTGATCTACGATTCAGAATTTATTGATCTATGGGTCAGACTTTCTTGGTCTATGATTCAGACTTTCGTGATCTTTGAGTCAGACTTTCTTGATCTACGAGTCAGATATTCTTGATCTATGAGTCTGCATTTCTTGATCTATGAGTCAGCCTTTCTTGATATATGTACATAGCACTATGAATTGCTTTCGTCCAAGTAGCTGTTCATTTTTGGATACTAATTTTCATAGTCAAAGCTTTCACATTCACATAACTATAACAAGTAACATAAAAAAATAAAAAGAATTTCACTTAAGATTTACTTTTTTTTTTCTTTTGTTATTTAATGTTAATGTCAATGTTAATGTCAATGTTAATGTCAATGTTAATGTTAATGTCAATGTTAATGTTAATGTCAATGTTAATGTCAATGTCAATGTCAATGTTAATGTCAATGTTAATGTCAATGTTAATGTCAATGTTAATGTCAATGTTAATGTCAATGTTAATGTCAATGTTAATTTCAATGTTAATGTCAATGTTAATGTCAATGTTAAAGTCAATGTTAATGTCAATGTTAATGTCAATGTTAATGTCAATGTTAATGTCAATGTTAATGTCAATGTTAATGTCAATGTTAATGTCAATGTTAATGTCAATGTTAATGTCAATGTTAATGTCAATGTTAATGTCAATGTTAATGTCAATGTTAATGTCAATGTTAATGTCAATGTTAATGTCAATGTTAATGTCAATGTTAATGTCAATGTTAATGTCAATGTTAATGTCAATGTTAATTTCAATGTTTACGCAACTAACGACAACATGTTACAAACATAACAATATCATCATGTTATTGCTGAATGAATGTATTAGTATGGCAACGAAATATTTATGTGACGAAGAGAATGCCCAATATTTATGAAGCTAAAGTTTTTTTTCTGAAGAATCAAACTTTTACAAAAATGTCCATTCTAATTATACATTGTTCTTTCTTCGAATGCGAAGATGACCAGGGTTTGAGCAGTAGCCTTGACTTGGGCTGTAGTTTGTTTCTAAGTAAGGGACAGTTGCTTAACTCGTAAGCCTCGATCTCTCGTACATGCCTATTTGATCCAATGGTCAAGACCTGGTCAAGACGACTGATAATAGAACAGGATGTCGTGGGTGACCAGCGGTGTGTCTCTCTTGTGCTCTTTATGCGTTCCACGTCGCAGGAGATGTCGCACTTTTCATTGTGTCAATCTCATACCGCCTACGGAACTCCATCTCCGGCTTCGATTTCAGAGTTTCCTTCTCTTTGATGAGTTGCTGTCCAAGGATAATGAATCCCATTCACCCGGGTTGCTTGGTGTTGTTGTTTTTTTATTCAACTCCAGTCCACAAGCTTGACTGAGTTTAAACTGTTCGGCCAAGCAGCCGTATATGACTTATAGAACATGTCAGGCAGGAAAATAAACATAAAATGATTGCGTCATAAATGATGTTTTACCGGACAATTTATTTTGTGTAGAATCTTTTTGATTGGGTTTCCAACCTTGGCTGCTTTTTTTTTATTTCCAGTGTAGACAATTCAAGGCAATGCATCATGCTGACTGGGTCTTACCTTAAAACATGGAATCTTTAACTTTACCCCCAAGAGCTTATCTAACATTGAAACATGATATAAGTAAACTCCCCCCCCCCCCAAGAGCTTATCTAACTTTTTTTTTTATTTCCAGTGTAGACAATTCAAGGACATGCATCATGCTGACTGGGTTTTACCTTAAAACATGGAATCTTTAACTTTACCCCCAAGAGCTTATCTAACATTGAAACATGATATAAGTAAACTCCCCCCCCCCCCAAGAGCTTATCTAACATTGAAACATGATATAAGTAAACTCACCCCCCAAGAGCTTGTCTAACATTGAACCACGATATGTTCAAACTTCCCAAAGAATTTAAAGATTAATAAGACACGAGCAAATTGTGTCACTATAACACTATAAGTTTCAAAGACGTTGATGCTGTGGCCTACTGTGTTTGAAATATGAACGAGACGAAAGCGAAAGTAAACGTTACCTGATGCATAATTATGCACGCTATAGTTTGCTTTACCTTCTGGTTTATTGGGTGATACAATTGCTGCATAAATGAAGATCTGACTACCAGGCTACTGCAATCACCTGTGCCAACAGCGCTGTCCGACTTACGTCACATGACTTTCAACAAGGAACTGTGTGGCAATTTTCCCCCAAGGTCAATGTTTGGCAAACTTTTAAGTTCCGCGGACCTGTCTAAAAGTTTTCCGTTGCACAAGTGACCGATGTCAGATTTATTTGAGTTATTTATTTATTTTTTCATTCGACCCTAAATCTGCCAGAAAGCATTGTCAATCAGCTATCAGCCAATGCTAGAGGATTCTAATACATATTTATAACTTAACAGAATTTACCAGCGTGCTCCCCAGGGCTGTTACAGAATGTAAATACATGTAGTCACTTTTTAAGTCAATATTGTCATTAAAGGAAGTGAAGTCAGATTTCATAAAATGGCTGATTTTTGCTACTGTGAAATAATTAAATATCTTTTGTTAAAATTGCTCTAGTTTAAAAATGTTTGTCTTTGTTACAATATTCATCTAAGTGCTGAAAGTGAATAGATCTATGTAAAATGTAATTTAACAAAACAAATAAAACATTTCCATTTTAAAAATAAGATCAGATAGATATTTATATTGATCCAAAATAAATGGAAATGTGTTTTCTTTCATTCCTCGTGCAGATTTTTTTTTCTGTCATGAAAATGCTTGTTGTTCCTTAAAATTAGTCTGTAGCAAGACATTCGGTGTGTGATAGTTCGTTAAGAATAACTGTTGAGTTCTTGAGTGAGTTCTTGAGTGAGTTCTTGAGTGAGTGACACTCCTTTTGTCTGTAGCCGATTTGTCTTTGAACGACTGTTTCGATCCTGTCATTTGTTTCCATTTGGATCAATAAAAGAGTCTTATATTTCTTATCGCTGTATTGCTAGCCGTACTAGCTGTTTAACTTTGTCCGGTGTCTTGTAACATGCCGTGTGGACCGGCACCGGTCCGCGGGCCGTACGAAGAGGAGGCTAACTGACAGACTTGGTTACAGACTTGGTGACAGACTCTACAAGCGCCATTGTGACGCTGGTACTTTTTGTTTTAATCATGACGTCACGTGGCTGCACATATCATGTTGATATGAATGTTTAAAAAAGAAAGGCGTACCACATCATGGCAAACACTTCAGCGACACATTAAAGTTGTTGCGACATTTCGATGACAGGTGTTAACGTGATATTTCGCTTTTTATTATCTATTTTTTGTCATTTTACGACTTAAAGCAATATATATAAATACATAATAATGATCTAGGCTGACCATAGCGCCAAAGAGACGAAGCAATTTATTAAATAATTTCGGATTCTTATAAACGATGACAGTAATTTTATATTATTTTATGGAGATCGAATAAATTTAAATGTGGAAAAAAATATAGGCCTATATCCGCTTTTATTTTATTAAATGTTTAAGCATTATTCTTATTATTGTAAAGTACTCATACATTTAAAATAACAATCAAGGAACTATTTGAATCTTTTATTCAAGTTTGAAAGTTACGAAGAAAAAAAAGAAATAAAAAAAACTATGATCTAAGATGCATCGTTATCTCATTTATCGGGAAACCCTAAGCATCTGATAATTTTAGTGCGTTGTTAATATTGCGAAATAAAATTAAAATTGATTTTGTTCTAAAAAACAAAAAACACGCAAATGACGTCATAGAACGATTTGCCTATTTTAGCCAAAGCTCCAAGTTTCTTTGATTTAATAACTGCGCGTGACAAAACGGATAATGTATTTTCCCTTTCTTAAAATTAAAATTAATAAATATAACTGATTGCTTTTTAAATTGTTAACAGAACACACCAAATAGCAGCTTTTTTATTTTTAACAGTTTACATAAGTGTTTACTTATTTTCATTCCAAAAATGTATATAAATAAATAAAAACTTAACATTAAATATATAATTTTAATAAGAAAATTCCGTTTAAGTCAATCAGTGCAGCGAAACTCCATAGTTAAATAGAGACCCACTAATGCACATATCACTCATCCAAATAATAACAAACCATATGAAGTGCAAAAAAAATTGTGATTGCATATGGAAGGGAAGATTTTTTAAATTAATTTTGTTAAAATCTGGGGGAGGGAGGTTGCCACTACTTTCATTTTGCCCCAGGCCGTACAAGATACGTCTCAGAATGAAGGAATGAATTTGATTTTTAAAAATTAACCTTCTAAAGTACATGCATATATATCGGCATCCTTCCGTCTCGTGAGACGATGGTGCATCACCGTTGGGTTGGGTTGCATTTTCTCGAGTGGCTGTGCAGTCCTATCCTTGAGTGACAGTCTTTACCACAATTTTTACACACGAGTTCCGTGCTTCTAAATGTTTTGGCCTTTCTCCCAGCTCTTCTGTCTGCAGCCTCTTCCATTCTTCGCTCCTCGGCTACCATGACGCCCTCTTTGACAACTGTGCGCCACGTAGATCGGTCTTCTGCCTTACACTCCCAGTCACATGCATATAAGGGTTAGGAAATAGGATGTGTACATTTTTACGTGGATGAAAATACATTTAAATCCTATGGTATTACATTGGTGGAAAAAGAGATGTTAATTTCTAAATTTTTTTTTTACAAATAAACATATTATGTTTACCAATTAAGAAAATCGATGCGTTAAGGAAACTTAAGAATGTTTTTACATGCGTCTGCACATTAATATCAAAGGCTGCATCTATTGGTACCCGGGTACCTATAATCACAAATGACTATTCGCACCCGGAGTGACTCCGTACAGATTAAATGGCTTCGGAACCTGGTGTGATAACAAAAATAGTAAGAGAATTATTTTTTTTAATTGTTTTTTTCTCCTTGTTATTTCATAGATTTATAGTTTTATTCTATTCAATTTTTTTTTTTTTTTTTTTTTTTTTTTTTTTTTTTTTTGAGTGGTTGTTTTTTTTTTTTTTTTTTTTTTTTTTTTTTTTTTTTATTTTTTTTTTTTTTTTTTTTTTTTTTTATTTTTTTGTTTTTTTTTTTTTTTTTTTTTTTTTTTTTTTTTTTTTTGCTTTGTTAATTAGGACGGGTAGATTTTTTTTTTCTTTCTTATTTTTCTTTTTTAGTTTAATCCATTTTTTTAAAAATCTAGTAAAGAAGATGATTTAGATACATTTGTTGTTTTCATTTGAATTTTAGAAAAGTAATAATATAAATTTAATTATTAAAATTAAATCCTTTATTTAAGAT